GAGCTTTTAAAGGTAAAAGATAAACGGCATGATGGGATGTGCAGTACCAAATATGTAAAGCACTTTTTTTATTAAAGGAATGGTATGCTCATGACACTCATTTAATTTTTTTGATCATCCGATAAAACAGATCAGTCTCTGCCAGTCTCTCTCTTTTTTTTTAAAATCCGATGACATTATCAGTGATTTTAAACTGATTAATTACCGAAATAACATCAACACTGTGGGCGGCGCCATTTTACCGGACGTGACGTAAACCATGCGTTTGGTTTCGAGGACACGTTGATGTTCATGTTATTTACTGTAGTTACTCTCTTCAAATATGCCTCATTGTATCGCGAAACATTGCCACAATTCTGATAGGAACAATCCACGGAATGCTCGGTTCCATCTGTTGCCAAAAGGTAAGCGTAGGAAGTACGTTCGGAGGCAGTGGCTAGCGAAATGTGGCCGGCCCGAACCGAAAGATCCACAGGCGCATGTATGCAGCGAACATTTCAAGTTTCCGGACGACTACTCTGAGAGTATGATAAAACTTAACATGGGATTTATTGAACAACCATTACTTAATGGAGATGCAGTACCATCGGTCTTTCTGGTGTCATCACCGACCAGGACACCAGTTCGGCCAGTTGAGAAATCGCCCTCTGCAAGTGTGAAGCGACGGAGGACCAGAAGTAGTGCTCGGAGTAAGAATAAGGTATGTTATGGCGCATTTCCATTGCAGCGGGTAGCCCCGTTTAAACGTCCTTTATCGTCCAGGCCAGGCCAGTTTTTGGTGGCCTTTCCATATAGCGTAGTACCGGCTAGTGGGTATTTTCCCCCAGTTTTTCCGGCCCCATAAAATCGTGGTTCTAGGGCCAGGGACAACGAGGCTGAGTATGCTAAACTAGAGAGGGAATCGCTAGCAAGGGTGGTACTACATGCATACATATCTAGTAATCAAAATCATTGTATCTACTAAGTAGTACTAAGTAGGCTCGAACCTGTATGGCTGAATTCCCCCTTCCAATCTCTTCATATTGCTCAAAACTTCGCCATGTTTTCGTGTGTTTACCATAGACTGTATATGGTGTTTACAAAGTGAACGCATGGATGACGTCACGACCATCACGTGACTACTGAAAATGGGCAAAATGGCAGCGGCCTGACGGAATATACAGGTTTTGATAAAAAAGAGCTATAAAATTATTATTTACCGGGGAATATCGCTGATTTCATCAGGGTATGGTTTAAACATAATGTTTCACTAAATACTGAAGTTTTGATTAATTATCTAATGAGTGGAGCATTCCTTTAATGTATGATTTGCTGTATATAAGGAATTAAACAAAAATCCTCTGTCGTACCATATTGAAGTATCATTATTTTTGCATCGTGTTGAATCGCATCGTATCGCACCAAATCGCATAATGTTGAATCAAATCGTATCGAACTGTATCGCAACAGGGGTGAATCGTATTGCATCGCCTAGTGTTTCAAATGTATCGTTAATGTATCGTATCGTGGCAACATATCGAGATGCGCATCGCATCGGCCTCAGTGATGGAGATGCACATCCCTAGTGGGCAGCTATTGTACAGCGCCCGGGGAGCAATGGGAGTGGGGGGGAAGGGGGATGTCCGGTGCCTTGCTCAAGGGCACCACGGCAGGGCAGGAGGTGAACTGGGACCTCTCCAAGTAGAAGTCCACACTCCATATTTTAGGTCTGGTCGGGGACTTGAACCGGCGACCCTACGGCTCACAGTCTAAGCCCCGACTGACTGAGCGAATACAGGTGTAATAATGGTGTAACATTGGTCTAATATGGGTGTATTAATGTTTAATATGGGTCTAATAACAGTGTATTATGGTTGTAATAACAGTGTAATTACGAGGAAATATGGGTGTAACATGGGCGTATTAATATGGGTGTAATGTAGAAAATAGCAATCAATACATTTTCCAAAATATTCAATGTGAATGGGGCAACTGTCACAAAAGCCAATTTGCCTCAGTATAAAATTAATATAAATAATACATATTTCTGATTCTCATTCTGACATTTATCTGATATGTATTTGATATATCAACTATTACATCTTGATTTATAAGGCTAACAATTATGCAGATGGTTCTCTTGGCCATATGACGATGGTTCTTGGAAGACTGGCTTTGTCACAAAAAATACAGAAACTCAAACCATTACAAATTATATTTTATATTATATTTTATAAATATTATATAATAAATAAAGATCTTTTTTTGTATTAAACATTTCCGATTCTGAGTTGTAGTGGGTACATCTAACTCTTTCTGATAATCAACCCTTGTATTTTGCACATATATAAATATAGAGACTCATTGGGGGATTGCAGATGGTTGTACAGTATTAGCCATATATGATGATGCTTGGATAATTGGCCTAGTCACAAAAAACTGCAGACATATACAAAATAAAAACAATATACAATCCTTTATTATCATCACATAAATATAAAATGGAAAAAAAAGAATTATTTTTGTAGAAACAAATTAATTACATAAATAAATATTTCTGATTCTCATTCTGATATTCATTTGAAATCTTTCTGCATTATTTTTCAGCTGCTTGTTTTGGCAATGGCACATACTTTGCTGTCGATGCTATATACTCTGCCAAGGACACCTACTCCAAGCCGAATGCAAACGGGGAGAAGTGCATGTACCTGTGTCGAGTTCTGACGGGGGACTTCACCCCCGGAAAGAAAGACATGATAGCCCCACCGGCCAAAAGCGGCATCGTGTCCCTACAGAAGTACGACAGTATGGTGGACAAAATGGCCAACACCACCATGTTCGTCATCTTCCACGACGCCCAGGCTTACCCTGAATATATGATCACATTCAAGTGACACAACCATGTAGAGGACTAATGTCTTACATCTAACACTGCCTTACAGCTACTACTGTTTATTATCATCAGCTGATTCATGTTTTTTTTTCTCCAAGATAATACAATTTACAAGCAACCTGTATTCATCATAAGGGTCGGTCATAATCAGATATATACAGTGCCTTAAACATGCCTTAATCATACTATAGAATAATTGTGTAAGAAGAAATCAAAATGTTAAAAGAAAATGAAAGGCTATCTAGCTAGCTTTGTTTGCCTATATAATATGCTCTTTGATGATGTTACACTGTTTATTTGTTATGGCAGGCTGCTGGAAAGCACCCTCTCAGTTCCAGTAAATCATGGGACAGCCAGAGCTTATCTAAGTATGTGAATGTGAATCAGTTTTCACTTTCGGTTTTGAGAGGGAAAGGTCAACTGCTCTCAAAGTAAGCCTGTACAAATAAAAAGTTAATACACATTCGCTATTGTCTTGATGTTTTCTGTATATTTAATTGTGAATAACTCAGTTTCTGTCCATGTTTTATTTAATACAGCAGCATACATTGTCAAATTTCTGGTTTTCAAGGCTTCATTTACAGTCAAACCATTTTCTTTAGCAATTTCCTCTAACAGACACATTACTTACATATCTTAGGAAGGCAGAGTAATTGAAATCCTGACTATTGCTTTTATTTTAATTGTTTTCTTTTATCTGGTTATTTATAACATATTGAAGAAATACTGTAGGCCTACATGTTAAAAGAAAATGGCAATTTCCTTACAATCATGTAAAGTACCATGACATTTATATATAAGCATGACCGTGATTTCTATTTACAGAATATTTCTAAAAGTACCTGTTATAAATGATTTGTTTTGTTATGTTTGTTCCTACTCCTGTTCTTCTTTGTAAAGCAACCTTGGGTCTCATAAAAGGCGCTATATAAATCCAAGCTATTATTATTATTATTATTAAACAGTTTCCAAATCCCTTCATTTTAGCCTATAAAATAAAGGTTCTGATACTGAGGTTCATTACCTTTTTTACATCTTAGTAGACTTTCTTTGTGTAATAAAACACATCTATAAATGTGTCCTCTTGCTCTCAAATGGAGCTCCACAAGGGATAATAAAAAATAGGATTTTTCATCAACAGAAAGAAAATATATTAATCAGAGAGAGACAGTGTTGGAGCCATGAAATCACAGATTTGTGTTACCAGCTTTATTCAAATGAGGTTCTCTGCTGCACCCTTTGGCGCCATCTGCAGGTCTCTCTGAAACTGCAGATCGCATTCTCTGATATGTATTTGATATATCAACTATTACATCTTGATTTATAAGGCTACGAATTATGCTGATTGTTCTCTTGGCCATGTAACGATGATTCTTGGAAGACTGGCTATGTCATAAAAAATATAGTAACAAAATCCTTTAAAAACTGCGAATATCCAAAATATAAAAATGAGATAGAATGCCTTTAGCGTAAAAATAAAATGAAAAACAAATGTAGTTTTAAAACATTACAATATTTTATTCAATTCTGGATATTTTCTATATTATACATTTCAGATGCTGAGTTGTAGTGGGTACATCTAACTCTTTCAGATAATCAACACTTGTATTTTGCACAATATAGACTCATTGGGGGATTGCATATGGTTGTATTCTTGGATAATTGATCTAGTCACAAAAAACTGCAGGCATATACAAAATAAAAAACAATGAATAATTCCTGTATTGTCATCACATAGAAATAAAATGAAAAAAAAGAATTATTTTTGTGGTAACAAAATAATTATAGTAAAATAGTTACAATCGCCAAGCTGTAGGGGTACTTATATATAAATATTAATAATAATAATTGATAAACGATAAGAAAGTAAGGTTTAATTGGGATGTAAACATCTGTGTATATTTATATATTTGCATGATGTAAAACATATATGTAAAGCAAAGTCTAAAAAATACACTATGCAACGATTTTACATTCAAACAAAGCTATAAAAGTCACTGCTGATAAATAACAAAAACAAAAGGCCCCTATGACACAAGGCTGCTTTTCCGCATTCATCTTTAGGGTGGAATTCTTTTTTTGTTGTTCGCACTCGCACCAATGGGTGCAGGTGTGTCTACCTGCCTTTTGGGAGTTTCGAACCCGGAAGTTTTAGGACAGCCAGGACTCATTTCACCACCGCACCTATGGAGTGTTCAGTAGCTTACCGTCCCTGATTTGTTTCCTTTAGAAAGCCATGCAAAAGTGACCCGAATTACGTACAATACAATTATCTGTTCGGGCAGTGAGCGTTACTCCTTTTGGACCTCAGGAACCCGCCATGGCATCGACCGGAGAGGATGTTCCCGAGCGGGGGCACCGGGGCTCGCGGACAGCATGTCGATCCACGGCAGCACGGAGAAGCTGAGCCCCTCCGCCGTCAACCGCATCATGATGGAGTTCCTCATGTATTTCGGCCGGGCTTTGCTGATCTTCTACCCCGTGTACCTGACGGGGTACCTGGGCCTCAGTATCAGCTGGGTGGTGCTGTGCATGGTGATGGTCACCTGGTGGAAGAAGAACCGCCAGTGGAAAGACGCCCGGATCGGAGGCGCCATTCACTTTCTGGATAACGAGACTAGTGTGGTGAACAAGGAGCTGCATAGTGCCTTACAAATGGCTTCATGGGTATGTGTTGTGGCCATTATGGGATACAGTTGACAGATTTACTGGTTGTCAAAGAGCAGCTTTTCTAGGGCTAATGGCTTTGGGTAGGAGAGACTGGGGATGGTTGAAACACTTTTAGCATTTTTCTCAGTTACTCACAGACTGTTTGGTTTATACACACATTAACACAATTGTAATAAACGATTGTAAATATGTCTGCTAACTACTTATACAATTAAAAGAGGATTTCACATGGCTTGTTGTCCACAATATTTATTTGAAAGGAAGTCAGATGTTGACCCCTAGCCTCGGGACAGTTGTGAAATTAACTTTCAAATGTTGTCTCAATGAACATAGAGACTATTTTGTCAAAAACAACTTTTTGTTACATTTTAGTGCTTATTACCCATACCTTAAGATTATTACATTTGACACGTTGTTTACATCATTCATTTGAAAGGAGGAACAGACTATGACCACATCCATGAGGACGGTTGCAACATTAGTTTAAAAATAGAAAAGATAGATAGTATAAAGAAAAATAGATACTTTATTCATCCCAAATTGCGAAATGACTTTGTCACAGTAGCAGTGTTGTCAAGCATTAGACAAGTTACACATATTTGAAAGATACAATAACTTACAAATGGAAGCAATTTACATCAGAAACGACTTTTATCACTAGAGTATCGAAATAATACACAATATAAAGAAAATATTGAATACATTGAATACTCTACAATATACAATCTCACTACCAAAATATATAGAAATATACAACAGACACATATTGGCATTGGGTTATAGACATTTAAAAAATTCCACTAATTAATTATCACTTTTTGTATCTATGAGCATAGTTTATTGTTTTTTACATTATACTTGTATTTATTTATACCACAATTACATAGTATAATTTATGTACAAATCTTCTGCAGCCAGACAGCAAAGAGAGTATACTATTGTTGAAGAAAGGTTGAACCCTGGAGGTCAAGCCCTTGTTTTCGGAGCTAAACAAGGCAAAACGTACTGAAACATGTCCGATACTGTAGGGCTTTCTGTTGCCTTGACTACACTACACTTTATTTGCATAGCATGTGCCTCCCATACTCAGGTTTGGGCTGAGCTAGCCAAATGTGTTTTTATTTAGCTGGTTTTGTCTCTGCATATTTGGTTACACCATGCCACACCCACTCAAACGGTGACTCATGGGAACTAAGAAGGGAGAGACAGTGATCGGTTTCCTCTCATGTCGTAGGAATGTAAAATGCACAACGGATCAGATCAACTTTTTGTAGTTAGTGTCTCGCAGATCAATCTTACACAGGTTCATTAAAATACAATGCAGGATTCCATTTGAACAGATTTCCCAATTCACCCAGTGTAAAACCCTTTTCTTTGGTCTTAAAAGAGAGAAATTCCCTCCTCTTTAGCACTGATGGTAATTTATTTGGATATATGCTCTGTATTAGATCATGATTCCAAACTTCTGTTCCAGTCCACAGTTTTGATGCTGCAGGGAAACGTTGGTAAGCTCTAAAAAAGAAATACTCCAAAGCTACTGCTGTCTTTTTTCACTAAGGAATGCTGTCAAATTCCAGGAATGCAATTTGCAGAATGTCTCCCACTCTAATAGAAGCCACATGATTTTATTTAATTTGCTTGAGTTTATGTTGACTTATTTTACCATCTTATTTGCATGATGGATGATTTAATAATAACTGAATGATGTCTTTGTCACCACTATCATGCATGCCACTGTGTTGTTGGGTTGGACAAATACGTACGCCTCTTCATACTTTAACGTTTTTGTACTTTTTTTCCCTTTTAAGGTCCACTTTCCTGATTTTGAGAAAGTTGAATGGCTTAACAAGGTACAGTATCATACTATTCTTAACTCTTATGTGTCCTGGAACTTGCTAAAGAAAGTTGTTGCATTACATTTCCTCTGTAGTTTAAAGGCAGTGCTTAAGAGCTCTATTTACACCCCAACCGTGCCATCCTGGTACTATAGTAGGTCACATGGCCTCATTAGAATGAATTAGATGTAAACTAAAATGCATAGGGGTATTATAGGGATGGTTTGGATAGAGTATATGAGGTACTTAATCAATAATCAATGTATTACCTTCTGTGGATGGCAGTCGATATGCCTCGAGTTTGAAGAAAAAGACTTATGACACGAGCCAAGCAATGTACTGCTTTGGGCAGGGGCAGCAAAACATATTTTAGTCACCTAAAAAAAAGGCCAACATAAAGATATCTTCATCAGTTTTAACAAGCACTGTATTTCGAATAATTTGCCGTCAGACAGCATTTTAAAATGGGAAAAGGAAATGATTCTCTATGCTTTTTTCTAAGCCACCACACTCACACAGTGTATAGATGACAGCGTAAGATTATTGTCCGCAAAGCAGTGAAAGAATGATATCCTTAAAATAGCCTACACTGGTTTTAATTGTTGTACTTATTTATTATACGTTTCTAAATTTCCAAGCTTCGAGGTTGGTTCTCCTTTCAGTTTCTACACATTTCTGGCATGCCAGCCACCATTCACTGTTGGTCATACACTTATTTACACCATACATGAAAAAATCCCAACTATCGCTTTAAACTCACCACTAATATGCTGTGACATAGAAACACAGTTAAATGAGCACCAATTTTCCACTGTGTCGTTCGAATGTTTGTACCAGCATAAACCATTTAAGTCTTTTTGACTTGGAAAAATAATGCTACGAAAACTGTCTGATGCATTTAATGTATTGCCTGTTATTGAAGAAGACTGTACTGTATGTGCTGTTTGATTAAGGTGTGGAATCAAGGCGTTTTCACATGCTCCATTCTTGTTTGTATATTTAGGTGTTGGAGCAGGCCTGGCCCTTCTTTGGGATGTACATGGAGAAGCTCCTGAAGGAAAACATCCAGCCGGCCATCAGACTCTCCAGCTCTGCGCTCAAAATGTTCACCTTCACCAAGGTCCACTTTGGACACTTAGTAAGTTTGCAACGCCATTTATTTAAGTGTTCAGTCAAAATGTATAACAATCTTTTACTAAATGTTTGTAAAGCAAAGCACACCTGTGATTTGGTTTGGGTAGAAATATTTCGACACACATGTATCTGATAAACTGAGGGGTGAATTTGCAATAAGAATTGTGGGGTTTTTGCAGCTGCTAAACATGTGCTAAACCGACACAAAGCATGCATAACAGGCACTGCCAAACAGGTAGCGTCTCTGTTCTGTTTGTATGTCCAGATTTAGATCAATCAGGAAATACAAAGAGATATGGCGCAAAGTTGGCTCATTTAACTTAATTGCTAAAAAAAACATTTTAAGTAAAAAAGATCTGTGCTTATAGTAACATGCAGTTACTGGAAACTAGTGTGTCCAGTGGCTTAGTGTTTTTTTCCTTTTTTCGGCCAGATTAGCCTTTATTGGAAAGTGACACGGCTAAAAAGGGGAGACAAAGGGGATGACATACACTGAACAAAAATATAAATGCAACACTTTTGTTTTTGCTCCCATTTTTCATGAGATGAACTCAAAGATCTAAAACATTTTCTATATACACAAAATAACCATTTCTCTCAAATATTGTTCACAAATCTGAAACAATCTGTGATAGTGAGCACTTCTCCTTTGCCGAGATAATCCATCCCACCTCACAGGTGTGGCATATCAAGATGCTGATTAGACAGCATGATTATTGCACAGGTGTGCCTTAGGCTGGCCACAATAAAAGGCCACTCTGAAACGTGCAGTTTTGCTTTATTGGGGGGGGTCTGGGGGGGTCCGAAAACCAGTCAGTATCTGGTGTGACCACCATTTGCCTCACGCAGTGCAACACATCTCCTTCGCATAGAGTTGATCAGGTTGTTGATTGTGGCCTGTGGAATGTTGGTCCACTCCTCTTCAATGGCTGTGCGAAGTTGCTGGATATTGGCGGAAGGAGAAGTGCTCACTATCACAGATTTTTTCAGATTCTGAACAATATTTGAGAGAAATGGTTATTTTGTGTATATAGAAAATGTTTTAGATCTTTGAGTTCATCTCATGAAAAATGGGAGCAAAAACAAAATTGTTGCATTTATATTTTTGTTCAGTGTAAGTAAAGGATCCCAGGTTGAATCTGGGTCCTCCACACGGGGACTAAGCCCAACTACATGGGCTGCCAGCTTTACCAGTTGAACTAAATGGCGGCCCCTGAAGTGCATTTATAAGGGCTGTCAGCCCTCTCTTACTTATTTTGGAAGGCGATGACAGTGGTGGCATTGAAAAATAAATGAATAAAGCTACCTTACATGTCATTTTGAAATAAACACGGGGAAAAACGAGAAAACAGCCTTCCGACTCAATCAATCCTCACAACAGACGATGGTTACAATTTAAAAAAGAAAAAAAAGAGGAAATTGCATACATTTTCCACCATATTAGCACAATATGTTTTGTGACTTTGACGTGGCCGATAGCTGGTGCAAATAATGCACAATTCACTCGACCACAATCCATTCTTTGTTGACAGTGTGGTGTCTCATTCAAGATGGCTTACTTTAAAATGTTTTTCTATTTCCAGCCTCTTAGAATCACTGGAATGAAAGCATACACAGATGAAGTGGATCATAGGGAGGTGGTTCTGGACCTAAATATATGGTAGGTCAGATACATTTCTCATGTCAGAGCTGCCATTTACTTTACGTCATTTGGTTTTAATGGCAAGAGACTAGTAGGTGTGCATGTATTTTACCCTCACAGCATTTTCATTACTCTTCTCTCTATCACTGTTCACTTTGCAGTTATGAAAGTGACGTGGACATCGACGCTGAGGTGCAGCCGCCGATCAAAGCTGGCGTCAAAGGACTTAAAGTAGGCTTCTCTTTGTCTTTTGGGTTAGGGTTATCATCATAACATGTGTTTACAAGTGTTGTAAAATTACTTCAATATTCCAGCTCCAGGGAATGATGAGGGTCATTCTGGAGCCTCTTATTGGTCAAGCACCACTGATTGGAGGAGTCACCTTTTTCTTCATTCGCCGCCCTGTGAGTGATATTTTCTCGACCATACTGTCCTCAATCAAGCTGCTTGATTGGCCAAGTTTAAAACTCTGAATACATTTTTTCAGACCCTTCAAATCAACTGGACTGGCATGACCAACCTTTTGGACAGCCCTGGCTTCAGGTTAGACTGTTAAAGGTCACTTCAACATTTTACTGTTTAATTGTTTAGTCAAAAGTCCTCTCAATTCATCTGTTCTTTTTCAGCTCCTTGTCTGAGGGGACAATAATGGACATCATCGCCTCGCTCATGGTGCTGCCCAACCGCATGTGTATACCCCTCATAGACCAAGTCAAAGTCGACCAGATGAGGTTCCCACTACCCCGAGTATGTAAGATATAATTTCCATTTCACAGAGTAATCTTCATCTTATCACATACTGCAACTTGCATTTTCAAATACCCTGCCATTGGCTTAGGGCGGGACAATACGTTTTTTGATGTAAATGTAATATACAGTAGGAACCATACTTTCAAATGTTACTATAAGTCTTTTTTAGTGATTGATAATCGATTTGTGTTCAGTTCAATGCAATTTAAAAAATAAATAAAACTATGTTGGAAATACTTTCCTTATTAGTTTTCAATGTATTTGTCTTTCAACTGTTTTGTACATTGGTTAGGATTTAGTCTTTCATGTTGAACAAGCTTTTTTGTTTGAATCTCTTCTTGTCTGCTCCTCAGGGCGTGGTGAGGGTCCACTTGCTTGAGGCTAGAGACCTGGTGGCGAAGGACACATACATGATGGGATTAGTCAAGGGCAAATCAGATCCCTATGCAACTCTCAGAGTGGGCAACAGACAAGTCAAAAGCAAGACAGTCAAAGAGAATTTGCACCCCAGATGGAATGAAGTGTATGAGGTAAAATAACAGTGATTATGTGAAAACTTAATTCACTTTAGTGTAACTTTCATGCTTTGGTTTCAATGGTTGGATTACTATTTTTTGTTCATTTTTCTTTTATGTTATTAAAGCACCTGGATAAGCTAAAAAAATGCATGAACATTGTGATTTTAAATGCACTGTAATCCTGTGTGTATTCTGGTATGCAAAAATAGAAAAATGCTGAAGAGATACTAAAATAATTGTTAGCAAGTACTTTGTATAATGTTAGATTGGATGTAGTCACAATGACAACACCCATTGGTTTAAACTTTATAGACTATCCTTTTGAAGACTATGGTTTGACATTTTGCCGTCACCATCTTTTTTTTGGTGGAGCCAAAAGTAATCCTATTTGTACAAGAGTCTGGAACTGGATAAGAGTGAGGCCATGCGCTGGATATATTAGCAAAACAAACGCTTAGTTACCAACTACCTAGCTTGGTTAGCAAGGTGAATCTGTAACTAACATAACCTGTAATATTATTTGGGATGCTAATTTTGGCTAGCTAAAAACAGGCTTTTTTGCAATGTACTTGTGAGAAAAAAGGATCAGGCAACTCCTTTTGAGTGTCTTATAGTACAATGAGCTAAGCTAGCAATACAGTGAGCTAATACCTGCTAATTAGTGCTAAGTCTGCTTACATGCATATAAAATGGGGCACAGTCTCTATATTATTTCAAAAATGTCAACAATTATTTAAAAGGCATACATTCCAAAGCATGGCTGAGAGGTCATGTTCAGTGACTCAAATGAATAGTGAAGTGAAGCGAAGCCTATCAGACAGGTTGAAGATGTTACTGAACTCATCTACCATGCAAAACAGCTGCGCCTTTAATGAGGCAACATTTTGGTCTGTATTACAAAATTGTTAAAGAAAATGTAACCTCCTGCAGTGATTATGAATATGGAAATCAGCTAAAGTGAAAAACAGTTTTTTGTAAAACGGTATTATAAGAGGAACTTAAGAGGAACTGCAGTTTTTGGTACTAATGGGTGGCTTCATTTGTCAACCCTGGAGGTTGCTGACAATTTTCTTTTAGGTTTTTTGCACCAATAACTGCAAATTCAAGTGTATCAACTAACATTCTTTGTAGATGTGTGATTTGTTAAAGAATAAGCTCTCTAAATGTTGTAGAAATATAATTAAGTCTTCTGAAGCTTGCTCTTTAATTCAATATGGTCACTTTTCTTAAAACACTTATATACTTATTGTGTTATTAACAAATAAAGGATTTCTGATTCTGATTTTTGAACTGATGTTAACATTGACTTTCCCATCAAAAATAACATTAGTAACATCCACCTTCTCTTTATCTGTGTGCAGTTTGTCGTCCATGAAGCCCCAGGGCAGGAGCTGGAGTTGGAGATGTATGATGAGGACACAGATAAAGATGACTCCCTGGGAACGTAAGAAACTATCAAATACCAGTGGGAAAAAGTAGGGATAATGCTGTCTAAGTCACATGAATGGTTTTCATTCCTCTATATAAAAGTAATCTGATAGGGAACTCAAGGAATGGAATACTTTCCCAAGTGTTACCTTTTACCATGCTATATTACAATCCTATAATGGCATTTAACCACACCTTATATGGTTACTTGATAAAACATATACAGTAGCTTGTATGGAGAAATATGAATAGCTTACATATTACGTATAAATCAGTGCTTCTCAAAGTGTGGTCCGCGGACCACTGGTGGTCCGTGAGCGCCCCACTGGTGGTCCGTGAGCGCCCCACTGGTGGTCCGTGAGCGCCCCACTGGTGGTCCGTGAGCGCCCCATTGGTGGTCCGTGAGCGCCCCCTAGTGGTCCGTGAGTATATTGGTAACATTTCACATTTAAGTTTTCCGCACTCTCGCGGGAATGTCTCCGCAATGGAGCAAGCTTAAGTTTAACTTTCAATTGCAGGATATAGCCCAGCGCAACACCTTCATCACACATGTTGCCACGTGTTTGTACCATTTTCAAGTGATTTGTAATCTGTTCTAGAAAAACGATGTGATTTTGGATATTAGTGGAGTTAGGTGGTTCGCGAGTGTTTTTTTATTGGTTAAGTGGTCCTTGGTATAAATTAAAGTATATTCTCAAGGTTACTGGTATAAAGTTTTCACTTGCCATCATTTGTCATTATCACCGTAGGTTTAACCTTGATTTCGGAGAAGTGAAAAAGAAGATAGAAATGGATCAGGTGAGCTTGAATTAATAATGTGGATATATAAAATAAAGGGATTTTTGCCTAATGAATACTTTTTTCCCCATTCTGCAATAGAAAAAGGAAATATTACTCAAACTGATTGCATTCTAAAGCATTTCTAATCATTTTCACCAGTTTTCTGTTTAAATGCAGTCATGTTTTGAATCTCATGTTGATAAATGGATCTTCCTCACTGTTGTAGTGGTTTCCTCTGGTAGGCGTCCAGAATGGAGAAGTTCATCTCAAGCTCCAGTGGTTTTCCCTTAAGTCTGAGCCCGAACTGCTGAGGGAGGTAACCACATTGTTGCTTTCATTTCTTCTATCCAGATATTTTCATTAACATCTTTATTCAATGTCATCAGGTTCTTATATTACTTGTCATTCTTCTGGCCACATATTTGCATTAATCTTAAAAGGGATAGTTTGGATTTTTAGTGTGAGATTTACTCTAATCATTCAAATAAAATATCAGTTGAATAGTGTTCTGTATTGGGAATATTTTCACCACTTTGCATTCAGAAAGCCCATTCTGAGCGGAAAGCGCAACCTATGTTTTCTTTAAAGCCACCAGACTCCTTGGCCAAAGGAGTGAAGCATTGAACTGCTGCCCCAATCACCAGCAGTTCAATGCTAATATTCCATTATACTACTGCGTACCAACTGTTATCTGCTGTAGTTATTACAATTAATACAGACAATTACCTCATATAACCCCATTTCAAACAATCCTAACTATCCCTGTAACTTTGTAAGTTTGCCCCTGTGTGTTACTTTATCTTGTTAATCATTTATGACACTCTGCCATCACTCTCTTCCAGTCTTCAGATGGCCTTGCTTGTGCCATGCTTGCAGTGTATCTGGACAATGCCTCAAACCTACCAGTAAGTGTTTTCCAATGGGCACTGTTGTTGTTAAGAGCAGGTAACGCTAACAAGAATCACAAATGTGCTAATGTATTCTTGTGTCTTGTGTGCAGAAAGACCACAGCGAGATGACGGAGCATCAGAAACACAAGAAGCCTGCAAAAGAAGCTCGGGTAAGCTCCCTCCCCAGTATTCACTATAAAAATCAGCTGGGCTGGATCGTGTAGACCCCAGACTCAGAGGCCAAAAATTGACAATTGTCATTACTTTGGTGTGTTGTAGTTTAATTTATTAAATAATGACCACTTAAGTACAGTGTTGCCCTTGAGAAAGAGGGTCAGTGTTTTGTTCGTCAAGTAGTCAACACAATACCAAGATCATCAGATCACATCATTGTTCAGAATAGAAAAAGCAGGCGTTGTTATTTAATGGTTATTGTGCAGGGACAGGTATTTAGTGTAAACCAATATGACAAACCACAGCTTAAAGATCATTTTCAATGCCCATCCCTACAATATATTGACTTTGAAAATACACCAAAGTAAACAAGAAATATGCAGGAGACAGTACACAACACAAACTCAACAAAAGCTGCAAACATTTAAAACACAACATTTAAAACTTGACATGAAAATCCAGAAAAAATAAACAAGACCCAAACTTTATGTTCAAGATGCTCCAACAAATTCCTGTTTACATGACTAATCCCTCTTCAAAACCGCTTTATTTTCAGTTTGAATTGATCCCAGTTTCCCAGCCATTTTATCCCAGTTCCCAGTATTTAATATAGTGCGAATGAATGCAAGAAATAACATATTTTTCAAGTAGTTCATGAAGGCGTAGCTTGAATCTGGCATGTCTTTCCCGTTACTGCCTTAAAATATGACTGTACTTTTGTATATTGATGTCAAACAAAAGCCTTGGTTGGATCAGATGTTTTCTGGGAGTGCCTCAGGAGAACTTGTCTCTGTGTGGAGCTGGTGTTTCCTGTTTGTCCAGTGCATTTCTGCCATTTGATCATGTGGGTGTGTTTATTACCAGCTAGTGTCCATGTTGTTGGTTTTCTCCCTTTACCTGAGGCTTGTTCAGGAAGATTTTCCCAGCAAAAAGACCGGTGCAGAACAGTGTTAAAAACAGAGCGAATTGAACAATTTATAAATAAATGTATGAATATAATAATTTGCCCTTGTTGGAATTCAAATGCAGGCAAATATCTGTTCTGTATTATAAGTTACTGAAATGGTAAATATATAAGATCTTCAATAAATGCAATTGAGGTCACAGATTACTTCCTGGTTTTTCTGAGAAATATATTTGACTTACTCAATCTTGTGTACAACTTTATTCAGCTGGTATCAAAGGCATTTATGATCACATTGTGTGAATTATTTAAGGGAACCTTTTGACCCAGACTGGTTAATGATAAATATATCTAAAAACAGTCACCTAAGTTGAACTGTGGATGTGTGTTATAGCCTCTAAATGCCCTCTGGTGGCCTTTATGTGAACATACATGGCAGAGAATTGTGAGACACCAAACTGCATTCACAAGTTAAGAACTAATTCAGTGTTGCAGACATAGTCACCTTTTTACTTAATTAAGAATATGAGTGCTTGCTTAAAAGTACAAACATATCATCAAAATATACTGAAAGTACTAAAAGTAATTATTATGCAGAAAAGCACATTTCTGAATAAGGTATGTTACAAGCATATAATACGATTAATTAATTAAAAGTAGAGCTAGTTATAGGTTAAATTATGCAGATGAACCTATACTAATACATAATCAATAATTGTACATCCTTAATTTAAGTATAAGTTACTAAACCTTTTTAAATCAAATTAGTTGAGTTAGAAGTATTTTCACTGAGATGAATTGTAAAGTTGAATAAAAAGGAAATAATCTAGTAAAGAACAAAAACTCTGAATGTACTGAGTTACATTCAATAACTAAATGTAATTATCCTGCGCTACATTGGGTCAAAGACAGCCTTGTAAGGGTGGTTTGTTCATTTTTGGAAGATACCAATACTCAGTGAATTTATTTTAAGTGAAGCAAAAATGTCACATTATATCCAATGATTTTTCCCATTGACAATATCACTCACTAAAGGGCAATATTGAATATAGGCTCCTATACTTTGAATATATCTTGAGCTAGCATCCTTCCCAGTGGAATGTTGTCAACATGCTCATGCTAGCATGCTAGTTGTGGCTGTGGCATTCACATTTTTCTCCAGTAATAATACTTCTCAAAACATCTGTTTTAACGTGAACCAGATGGTATGACGTGTCTGTGAAGTATTATGGAATGGAATGCTTCACCTATCCAACCTGGAAGGCAGCAGGCTGCTTTCAGATAAACTAGCTTTTTGGCTTGTTAGCGTGTCAGATGGGAACTTTGCAAATGTATTGTTGATATTGATAATAACACACATTTGTACAATTCTTATAAATATGTATCATTGTTCTTGGGCTTTTCTGTCATTGACAAAGTGACATTTTGCTGAATAAATCATGCTGACTGATTTACCTTGTTTTCAGCTTACAAAGAGAGCTGCCACCCTGAACTCCTATGTGGAATTTGCCATTGATAAGGATGTTAAGAAAAGCAAGGTATGGCTCTCGCTTTGTCACATTTAATACACTATTTTCTCAAAAAATCATTGTGTCAATACAATATCTTTTAATGCATGTTTATAATTGATTTAATATATTTTGCACAGTAAAACCTAATATCTGTAATTGCAAATTGAGATGTCTGATGATTTAGCAAATATCCAGCTTTTCGCAAAGAAAACCATTAACCTGTAGTTATTTCTCTTCAATCTCTCCTCATTTCATAGGTTGCGTATGCATCTAAAGACCCAAAGTGGGAGGAGGGCTTCACCTTCTTTGTGCATAATGTCAAAACACAGCAGCTCATGATTCAGGTGGGTAATAATATTTGTATTTGATGAACCAACTCGTTTAAAGGTGGGGTAGGTAAGTTTGAGAAACCGGCTCGAGATACACTTTTTGTTATATTCCATGGAATGCTCTTAAAGGTGGGTTATGTAATTTATTTCAGAAACACTTTTTTATTATTCAATGGAATGCTCTTAACATCCCGATAGCAATAAATGCTTTGACAATAAATACATAAAAAAATGTCATCTGTGGAAGCCGTGGTACTGTAAAAAGCATGACCAATCATTTTACCCGGCCCGGCTAAAATGACTGGATGGCCTACCTGCCTGTCAGCCTTCCATCTGTGCACAAACTTATCTCGTGCCCTCATTGGTCATGTGCGCGTTCGTGTGTGTTGGAGGAGGGGCTCTTTAAGGAAGTGGCAGATTTTTTCCGGTTGTGTATTTTCAAATTCTAGCGCACTCGAGCTGATTTCTCCAAAATTACCTACCCCACCTTTAATGGTATTGTATAGAAACAAACTTTAATTCACATTACTTGTGGTGATTTTCCCCACATTTTGTTCAAACTTAGTTTTACAAGTTACATCCAGGTTGAAATCTCCAACCTGTATGTGTCAATATGTACAGATACTGTGACTTTCTTGTTATTTGATCCAAATGATACCAAAAAAACAAAATCGTAAATGTTGTTATTCTAGACCTCCATCAATCAGGCATATGTCCTCAAGTGAAATACAATGTTTTTCATTCAGTATTTTATTGGTTTGATATGTTTTCTCCTTGTCCAGGTCAAAGAGCATGATAAGAAGACTCAGCTCGGTATTTTCAACTTGCCCCTGAGTCGCCTCCTCGACACCTCCGACATGACTTTAGACCAGCGCTTTGTGCTGGAACGCTCCGGAGCCAACAGCCAGATCCAGCTGAAAGCCACTCTCAGGGTGAGTACACAACTTTGGCAAGCACTGGGGCTGGGCAATATAAAGATATACTATTGATATTGTGATATTAGACATGATATCACTTACATTTTCAATATCCCAATATCGTAAGTGTTGTCGTGTACTGGTTTTAAACGCTGCATTACCGTAAAGTGATGTACATTGTGTCACTGACTTAAGCAAGCCATGTTCTCTTCGCTCAATAGATTCTCACTGTCGAAAAGCCTCCACCCACGATTATTCTAAACCCTTCTCCACAAGACAAAAAACAAATACCACAGACTAACCAAGGAGGTAAGGCTCCTGCATCCACTCCCGCTGTAGCTACATCCTCCTCTGCAGCACTTTCCCCCAACACCAACCCCACTTCCACACCCTCAACTGCATCCTGGGACACCAAGAGTCGCTCAGATGAAATCTGGCGGCCGCCACCCTCCACACCGAACATGCGTCGTCGCTATGACTCCCAGAGCCTGTTGTCAGACAACTCCATCGCCTCGTCACGTTTTGACCTTTCAGATGGGGCATCTTATCCAGAGTAAGCTTTGTTCTATTTCCTTTTTTCATAACGCCAGTGCCCTCCCTTCAACATTTTTTTGAACGTAATGAACTTAACTTTGTGGACCCAAGAGCAAGTGGACATATTCATATGTTTTTTATCCATATAGGGCCATCAGCAAACATCAGGGTTCATTTGGGGAGATCCAGCTGACTGTACGCTACGCCAGCCTGAGGAACAAACTCATCGTCCTGGTTAACTCCTGCAGGTAAAACCCAAAAAGCATAACAGGGCCTCTTTAAATGCTGTAACTGAATCCAACATAACAAACCGGAAATGGCTGTGATTTAACTTACATACGGTTTTCCCCTTCAATTTCATATGGCTAACCCCAGCTATGGTAATCCGTTGTGTGTACCTGTTGCTTACAGGAACTTATTCCGCACCAGTGAGAATGGCACAGACTCTTATGTCCGCCTGTATTTCCTCCCTGACCAAACCTGGATACATCGCAAGAGGACGCAGGCCAAGAAGAGGACAGTCAATCCTGTCTTCAATCACAAGTAAGCTTTTTGGATTCATGACACATTTGCACGAAAGAAAAAACATATTCTTTATTTCTTATTACCAAGGTTAAGCAGTTGCTGTATGTTTACTTCTGATTGGTTTTCTGGAATTGTTTGCTCTAACTCTCTTTCATTGTAGGTTTGAATTTGATGTTTCACTTCAAGAAGCACAAACCAGGAAGTTGGATGTGTCCGTGAAAAATGGGAAAATGTTCCACTCGCGGGAGAGGAAAGACATTGGCATGGTGGGTAATACTACTTGTGATTCAACATTGTGTATACTGTTAGACGAGGACATTATGGTGAGTCAATCATACAGTCTCTTAATGTCCAACTTTAGTTTAATTCAATGTTGTAAACGTTTTCTTTTTTTCCCCCCAAACACACAGTTTATTGCAAAACCAATGTCTTGACCGCTATTGTTGTCACACTTTTGCAGTTAGCACCTCAGTTTCCACAATATGAGGAAAATATGTAACAAAGTGTTGAATATTGCAATAATAACAATTCAACTTGCAATAAATAAAAGGATATCATAGTCATCTAAATTGGGCTTTCCTGCTGCTTTCAGTATACTGCTGAATAAGACAAAAAATAGCTTGTTGAAGTAAAAAAATTAAGAGAATAATTCTTAACATTATTTTGATCTATCGTCGAACGCATCACAAAAAACATCACCAAAAAAATAAAGATGATTATATTTCCTATTTATTTGTAATCAAGTTATTGCAATCGTAATTAAAAAAAAACAATATTTGTATCAGTATGTGGACTAATTTCCAAGTTATGCTCCCGCTCACAGGTGATGATCGATCTTTCACAGTTGGAATTAGCCAAAGGCGTCACAGAATGGTATGGAATGCAGTTTTTCACTTTTCCATGATTTTTGTTAAACATAAGCTGAAGCATTCTGAATTTAAAGATATTTCCCACCATCATTGTATATTATATATGTGTCCTGGTCGATAGTAGTCATCCAGTATAATTATATTCATATTTATTTTCCCTTTCCTTTTAAGGTATGAGCTCACACTGCCTGGCCTGAAGCTGTAAAACTTCTGTTTGCAGATTAAAGAGCAGCTCCACAGGCACTGATACAGTAAATATTGGGAGAGGTGCATAGTCCTTTGTTTTCCTTATCAACGTGGACCAGAGTTGGGTTTTTCAAATACACCACTAATCCCATCTGAGATACTGGGTATGTTTTGTTACTGTATTTGAAGGCTCTGCACTCACGTACCTGCACCTACTTAGGGAATAAAGTGTTACAGAAACCCCTATGATATGACCAAATATTTTTGAGCAGACATACAGCTGCCTATTAGACTACCCAGATTATGCAACGTGTCATTTTCCCTTCTTCTTGTTATTCCTCAAATAGAGGACAGCAAACATGTATATTTTTTTCCTGCTTTGGACTATTCTTATTTTTTTACTTGTGTGTTCCCTACAAAAGAGCATCTTCATTCCACATGTTTTATTTGTTGATGTTCCTGAATAATAATGCTTTTGCTAAGCATGAATTGACCTTGTTATGTAAAAATAATTACTCTATCAGAGCACGATTGTATTTATACTTCACAAGAAACAAGATAATTATGTAATTTGGATTTGTTCTTTGTAAGAGGTTTGGGTTTTGACTCGATCTGAGCCAAAGTTAACCTTTTGTGTTTTTGTGTAAATATTTTGGTAGTATTGATAGTTTTGATGTACTATTTTGTATTGGGGGAAATAAAGCAAGTGTGTGTGTATTGCAGCAATCAAAGAAATTAATTGCATACTGAAAAGGGTTCCAGCCATGGGCAAATAATGTATTTATCTTAGACAAGACATATACGTGATATCAGTCACAACAAAACAAAGGGGAGAATATACATAGTCAATACACAGTCAGATGATATTATTCATTAAATTAAATTAAATGAACGACATACGCAAAGTTGTTGTGTTGATACATTTGCTTGGTTTCTTTCTTCAAACATAATACATGAGGGTTTAGAGTAATTTGAGCTGGTGAATATGCGATTTTACTTAAAGTCTGATTAGGTCATAAAACAATTGGAGTCAATATTAACAATATTAAATCTATCCTAGTTCTGGGTACAGTGCCAATATTAAATAAATACCATAAATATGTAAAATTCCAAATATGTTTTTAATTAACTCCACCTGGGACTTTCACTGGATAAACGGGTATACTGTAAAGTCGATATCATATATATCATATAGAATATTCATATACATGTATGTTTATATTCTTACTTATTTATAGTCTCAGACCCAAATAGTTGAAACAAATACATTCACTTTTTATTACCATCTGTGGCACACTCCTCACTACATATTAATGGAATCTTCCATCCTCTTCACTGGGCTAACTGCACACCTCAACATTCATGTTACTCACTGAAGGAACAAGTCCTGTTTCTCGCTTGAGGCCAGGAAAAGGCTAGTCACTGTGACCTTTTTACCTGTGCTGGACTATGGTGATTTGATGTATATGAATGCACCTGCCAATTGCCTGGTCAAGTTAGATGCTGCGTATCACAGTGCACTAAGATTTGTGACAAACTGTAAAGCATTAACCCATCACTGTACCCTGAATGCAAGGGCTGGTTTGCTTTCACTAACTGTACGGAGGCTCAGTCACTGGTACATTTTTATATACAAAGCCATGTTAGGGAAACTTCCATCTTATATCTGCTCCCTGATCTCACGGAAAATTGTAAGTGGCTACTGCCTGAGATCGAATGCTGTGGTTTTATTAAATGTGCCAACTGCTAGGACTGTCTTAGGGAAGACAGCTTTTAGATGCGCAGCTCCTCTGTCTTGGAATAGTCTGCAAATTAAATGGAAACTGAACAATCTGGTGCCACTAAATGTTTTTAAAGCTCGGTTGGATGCTAGTCAATCGGAAGCTATTGGTACCTGTTTATGTGGATAATTATATAAATGATGCTGTATGATGTCCTTTTGTTGTTCTATTTATGTTTTGTATGTTTCATGTGGAACTACTTGAGCAGGTCTCCCTTGAAAAAGAGATCAATGATCTCAATGGGATTTATCTGTATAGGCTAAATAAAGGTTTGAAATGAAAAATGAAATGAAGCTCTAATATGAGACTGGAGAACCACACAAAATGGAATACTGAAGCTAAGATATCACAGGGAGCATTTTAGCACAAAACCACGAAGGAAAGTAGATTAAACATTATGACGGCGGAAAACGGTACATGCCTACTTGTTTTAAAAGTTGAGTATAGTAGCACCTGACCTACGCAAGTAAAGACTTTGTTTATACAGTCTGGTAAAGACAGACAAAAACATAATTAACCGTTACATGTAATGTCATGCTCTTAGTTGAAATATTGACATTAATTGAACTGTATCGAGTTCTTGCTTTTGTATGCGTATTATCAAACAAGCACATAATAAATCTGTAACAGACATATATTTGTGTGTGTAACTGCCTACAGTCTATGGTAACTGCCGGGGACAAAAAGTTCACGCGAGTCTGCGCGTGTGTTCACCGTTGCTTGCTTAGCAACGGTCCTAGCAACAGCACAAGGTGTTTCGTTAGAGAGCTAGCGTTAGCTCATGATAACTTTGCACAGGTACCAAGATGAGTTCAGCCAAAAAGAAGCCAAATATAGCTGAGGGTCTTGCGTTCCTACCACCAGCTCTACCTCAGGTACGTTTATAGAGCACTAAGTGAACTGTTGTGACCTCGTTTTGAAAGGTGTTTCAGTGTATTAACGCTGCGACTTCTAACTGACGTTATTAAAGTTAGCTCAGCTGGTCGTGACACTAATACAATAGTACATTTTTTTTTACCACTTTTAAATTGAAACTTCCTCTGTTAAAAAAAATTCTGTTCCGAAAACCTGAAATTATTTGACTCAAACCTACACCAACCTAAATTGTTAACCCCATTGTCCAGCTCCACAGAAAACAGCCGTGGATAGATACAAAACCTTCATTTTCGCCGTATCCCCCACTCAAGCGGAAACGTGAGTCCAATGTTTAAAGCCTGAGTTTGTAATACTTTTCAGACACATACAAAATACTTATAGTTTTATGACAACTTAAACATCAGATACATTATCACATTTTCCTAATTACTTTTGCATTTTATACTTTTATAACTAACGAACTAACAAGTAGGCCTACACATTTTACATCATTTGACATCTTAGAGGTACGTTTTGAACTTTTTACTCAATTACATTGATTTAATACCTTTAATTACTAGTAACGTTGCAGATAAAGATCACTCATATAACATTTTATCAGCATATATGCATTTAGTAAATTCTCAAGCTACTCAGCCATACAACATTGAATTACAGTAGAAAATAAATAAAATCATATATAATGAAACATGATTTTGAAATAAACCATTCTGCATAACAACTTTTGGTACCTCATTTGTATTCATTTCAATGCCAAAACGTTGACTTGTAACAGAGCTTTTTTTCAATTAGTGTTGTAAGTCTTACTCAAAATAAAAATCTGAGTATTAGTCTTTTAATTTGTTTTGTAAAGCACTTTGAATTGTCGTGTACAGAAAAGTGCTATATAAATAAACTTGCCTTGCCTTATTCCATCACTGATTTTTCTGTTGGCCCTGTGTGTGCTGCCTGCAGGAGTTGGTCTGACTAAAGGGAGTGCACAGTAGACCGGTTCAGAGTCAGGGCACAGGTCAGAACGATCTCGAGAGCAGAACAGCAGATCAGTTCAACAGAACCTCCAAGCACTGCATCAGTACCCATACAGAACTCATTAATGAAAAGGGCAAGATTCTCCGGGAAACTCTGGTTAAATTCATATGGTGAGTTCCTTTATTTTTTATAAAACTTTATTTTACGTCTCCCATGTCATTTCCAATAATGTATTTATACATCTCTAATTCAGTGTCACTCACCTCTGATGTATGTTATAGGACATTTATAACTAACTATTTTAAAAGATATGGATTTAGAATTGTATTTTTGATGTGTTTTACCTATACTCTTTGTAAAGATATGACCTTATATTCTGAGCAAACTTCATATGCTAATGAAATAATCAGATAAATAAAAAAATAAAATAAATACGTGTCTATAATTTATCTCTATCAAATAAAAGTATATACAGAATAAGTTGGTATCTACTATAATGGACCAATCTACTACTAGAAAGGCAACTCTGTACTGTTAATCACCACTGCTACGTATATTACATTATTACAGATAGGAAATTGTGTACAAAAACTGTTAAATGCCGTGGCTCCCATTTCTTTAAGCTTGCAAGAAAAAGAGGACAGCCCCGCGCCAACATTTGGCTCCTCCAAATCCACAACAAAGAGAAATCGTGGAAAGGTGAATAGCTACCATACTTGATATGCCATATAATACATAACAAGCTCTCTTTGTTGTATGTGTGACATAATGAAGAAGTTGCGCCCGTCATTGTTTTATACTTCTCAAGACACTTGATATGGTAGCCTTTTATCACTGTTTTGTTTTGTTGGTCTCAATGGTTGCAGTTGCTAGGTCTGTTTCGTTCTTCGTGCAGTCTTCTTTCTCTTTACCTAAAAAACACGTACATATCTTTTGATGTTTTGGAAAATTCTTGTACTAAGGTCAAAGCATTGAAACTTTTTACTTGTATGTACTTTTTCCGCATTTGTATAGTTATACACTGAACAAAAATATAAATGCAACACTTTTGTTTTTGCTCCCATTTTTTACGAGATGAATTCAAAGATCTAAAACATTTTCTATATACACAAAATAACCATTTATCTCAAATATTGTTCACAAATCTGAAAAAATCTGTGATAGTGAGCACTTCTCCTTTGCCGAGATAATCCATCCCACCTCACAGGTGTGGCATATCAAGATGCTGATTAGACAGCATGATTATTGCACAGGTGTGCCTTAGGCTGGCCACAATAAAAGGCCACTCTGAAACGTGCAGTTTTGCTTTATTGGGGGGGGTCTGGGGGGGTCCGAAAACCAGTCAGTATCTGGTGTGACCACCATTTGCCTCACGCAGTGCAACACATCTCCTTCGCATAGAGTTGATCAGGTTGTTGATTGTGGCCTGTGGAATGTTGGTCCACTCCTCTTCAATGGCTGTGCCAAGTTGCTGGATATTGGCAGGAACTGGAACACGCTGTCGTATACGCCGATCCAGAGCATCCCAAACATGCTCAATGGGTGACATGTCCGGTGAGTATGCTGGCCATGCAAGAACTGGGATGTTTTCAGCCTCCAGGAATTGTGTACAGATCCTTGCAACATGGGGCCGTGCATTATCATGCTGCAACATGAGGTGATGGTCGTGGATGAATGGCACAACAATGGGCCTCAGGATCTCGTCACGGTATCTCTGTGCATTCACAATGCCATCAATAAAATGCACCTGTGTTCGTCGTCCATAACCAGTGTTGGGACTAACGCGTTACAAGTAACGCGTTACTGTAACGCCGTTATTTTTTGGCAGTAACTATACTCTGACGCATTACTTTTTAAATGCAGTAACTCAGTTACCGTTACTACATGGTGCGTTACTCCGTTAGTTTTTTGTATATAGTCAACAGCCAGGCGAACAGAGATGAGAACTGTACTTAAGTACAGTACTTGAGTAAATGTACTTAGATACTTCCTGTGTCACATGCGGAGACGGGCTGTGGGCTTTGTGTTGTTTACTAACAAGACTATCATGGCGGCGGCGGAGCTCAAGTCTAGTTTCTCCACCTGGAGATATTCTCACTA